AGTATAGAAAGTATCTGACTTTGTCCCAAGTTTCATGAACTTCATTTTGGTTTGTCGATGTCTATACGAAAATCGAATAAAATCAGTGTCTATAAATTCAGAAGATTGTATTTACTATTTAGGTAGAAACTAATGTTTTGGAATAGAGGTGTTTGGTGCACAGAATCTGGATTATCTGGAAGATTTATTTATTTTATACAATTAAGATTTATGGAAGGTTCATTAGTCCTATTTGACTAACCTTGTAATAATTTTAAAAATGACTCGATCAATATTTTTTTGGTAACAAGCGCATTATAAATATTGATTTTTTCTATAGAAAATTTGACTTTTGTAGGTGTTTATTTCACAAAAATCAAAATTATATTAAGTTATTAATTTAGAGATATTTTTTTAATATAAATATTGAATAATAACTATTTTACTAAGAGAAAATAGGATATGCACTACTCTAAAATAATTTTATACAGTTAACTAATCACTATTATATATTCGGTATTTATGTATGAAATAATTTTATACAGTTAACTAATCACTATTATATATTCCGTATTTATGTATGACATATTGATAATTTCTTATTAAATGATTAAATATGAGTATTTTTTTATCAATAGGTTGAGCATTATGTAAGAGTATTTTTTTTATCAATAGGTTGAGCATTGTGTAAGAGTATTTGAGTAGTTTTTATTTTTCAATTTTTTTATAGAAAAAATCAAAAATATTTGATAGGGAGGTTTGAATTTTGAATTATTCAAAGACTAAAATTATTTATTTTTCTCTATCAGCCATTTTCATGATTTTGGTGGTTATATAGAAGGTTCCATTCATGTATTTGTTAGGTTATTTTTCCATATAAGCTATTTCTTTTCAATTATGCGACTAGGCCAATGCCCGTGCAACGGGTTTATTATAAATAATAATGTTACAGTATTATGTATTAGTAAGATATATAATATAATATATGTAATTAATTATAAAAATTTAGTATAAGGTTTATGAAAAATAGAATATGCATGATTAATTTAAAATAATTTTACACTGATAATCAACTATTGACATGTATTTAACTAAATTATACTTAAATTTTAAAATTATTTTAATAATATAATAAATTGTTAATTTTTTATTGTATGTTAGTATAAAACTATTTAACTCACAAAATTTATGTTATATCTGAAGTTAAAAAACATAAATAATAGAAGATTTATTTTCTTGAAACATCTAGATATTATTACATAATTGAATGAATCGATTACGGATATTATGGTTTAATTTTAAATATGTGCATACTAATTATTAGAATAATATTTTGTATATTTAATAATGTCTTGAACAGTTGGAACAAGTCTCTATGACAAATGAATAAGAACAAATAACAATTGCTAAAACTTTAAATGTAAAAACAAATGACAATTGATAAAAATTTAAGTGTAAAAGTAAATTATCTTGATTTGATATAAATGAATAAGACCTATGATGATAACCTTCCAAATCATGCATAAGAAGGTCTAAAAACCATTGTCATGATTCTTTTGTTTCAACTTCTACTACAACATATGCTATTGAAAAAAAATATGATTATTACCGCCCCTACCTATTGCTGACATTAATTGTCCACCATAATCTCCTTTTAAAAAGCACGCATCTAACCCAATAAATGGCTTACATGTCTTTGCAAAACCTACCTTGCAAGCCTCTAAACACACATAAAGTCTTTCAAAGACATCATTGCCATTACTATCAGCACATTGAATTACAACTGTACTATTAGGGTTCGATTTTAAAATCTCTTGTCCATAAGATCTCAAATGAGAAAATTGCTCAATACCGGCCCGTTGAACCAACTTCATTGCTTTCCTTTTGGCCCTATATGTCTGGTCATGTGATAGTTTCACTCCTCATTTCTCAACACCTTCAGCTATGAGGCCTGCTGGTTTCATATGGGGACTATGTATAAGAGTGTTGGCAAGCCACTTTGTCTTTGCACTTCTATTGGCATCAGTCATGTGACATGTATGTCATTCAATTAAACTCACAACTTGTCAAAATTGGTTACCAATTCTTTTACTAAATCTCATATAGAACTTACATCCATCAGTGCATTTCACCGCAACTCTTTTGGAATCATTATTCTTAATGAACACATTCTTCTGATTTTCCATCTCATAGTCCTTGATTGCATCCCTCATGACTTCTTTGTTAGTAAACATCATGCCTAGTTGAAATTTCATCCCTTCACTAGATTTATATGTAGGAAACTTCAGTCCATCTTCATCATCACTTCTAGGGGGTGTATATAAATGGTCTGAGTCCTCACTTTCATCATGAACCATCTCAGCTTGATCTACATTCTTTTGGAAGCTAGCAACCTCACCTAATGTCTCATGGGGAAGAACCTCAGCCCAATTCATCTCACTCACATACGAGTCTTCACTAAAATGGAACTCACTATCCTCAAAACTACTCTCACTTGCAATATAATCCTCATCAATGCTATCTGCTCTAACATAATCAACATTAGTATCTCCTACAACTTCATCATTGTTATCATGCACATTAGAACCATTAATCACTTCTTCAGGAACACCATTAGTATCATCTTCACAATTAGTCTCAAGGTTAACACCTACTCCAACATCATCCTCATTAACATCTGCACTCTTAAACCTATTACATTCTACAACATCCTCAATGTTAGCCTTGACTTCACTATCATCAATAATCTCAGGTATCCTCACAATATGCTCCACATACACATCTATTACATCATATCCTACAACATATTTTGAAAACTGCAGTACATCCTGATCATTGTTCAAGGATCTAAGACCACAAGAAAAGTTATATGCAGGGTTCCAATACCACAAACACTTTATATTTATGTAACCCTCACTCTTAATCATATCCTCTAATTCCATATACCACATATAATCAACATCCCAACTCCAATTCATCTCAGTAACTTCTCCATTTACATACCACTTAACAGGTGTCTCAACTAATTTTCCCCTATGATGTATTCTCAACCTAATCTTATTAGTCTTAGCTGTCCTGAGAAAAAATTGACAAAACTAGAACCAAACAAGCATAAAGTCGCCCCAGGGACCACAATATTACATAAACAATACTAAACATACGGGACCACAAGCACGACAATAATACATTAACTAAACCAAACATAAATTGACACAAGAGACCACAAGAATACATTAACTATACTAAACAAACTGACACAAGGGACAACGATACGTACCTTACACAATATTTGACTCCTTCGTTTCTCTCCTTTTGACTTACTGGGTTCGTCATCTTCGTCAAAATCAAACACCTATGAAACACAACTACACAACTTCGATGTGCACAGTTGAACGCTTTGTACCAGTGTTGTGATTGAGGGATTAGATAATTTTTTCTTGTAATGAATGATGGGTGTCAATGGAGGATTAGGGTTTATAACCTTCTGAAGAATGATGGTGTGATTTGGGGAAAAATGTTTGACCTTTGCCTATATTCTATAGTTTATTTCTTTAATTTAAGATATTAATTTTAATAGTTTTTGAATTAAACTATCCAACTGGAATTAAAATATTAGAATTTGATTACATAAATCACATTGGTACATGCCACCTCATTAATGAAACTGATACATAAGCAAAAAAGATAAGAGATCATACAAATCTAAAGTTCATCCTAATCAAGGACCAAATTCGTAGGTTTTGTAATAAGGGGACCAAATTTTTAAATTGCTCAAACTAGAAAATCAAAAGTGCACTTAAACCTAATTTTTTTTAAAATTGCTCATTTCTTAAGAAATAATGTCACAAAAGTGTAAAAAAAGTTATATTTAGTGTAATCTAATTTCTCTCATTTTTAGGTTGATAAATGATGTAAAATACATGAATTTTATATAATTATTTTATAAAATATATTTGTTGCAGAATATGATTTTTATCACAAATTATATTTATTCTAATTTTTATATTGAAGATGTAAAATTCATTTTTTGAGATAATAAAAAAAATAAAATAAACAGACAATGTATTGTGAATGAGTTATAATCATTTTCCATTTTTTTCAATAATATTATCAAAATATATTGATTTTAACTAATTCTTTAATGAGACACACGTGTTTTGTGTTTATTTTTAGGGTAATGCTAACTTGTGCCCCAAAGACACAAGTTAAGAAAGCCACTTATAGTAAATTTGCATTGGAAAAAACGATTTAAAAATTAATTTTATACTTTAATTAAAATTTGTACACAATTTCCAAAATAATATTTCTTAATTTAGTTCTTAAATATCTCACTTAAGGATATTGTCTATTTATTGGAGAAAATATGATTTCATTTTAAAGTAAGAAACAAAACATAGTTGTATTATCTAACCTGATTATGGAAATAGTCTCAAAGAAATACGCATGGGTTAAAAATTGACTATGCAAAAACCGTGAGATTTTACGACTACAAAACTCATATGTGACAATCATGTTGCACTTCACATTGTATTTAATCCGATTTTTCTTGAACAAACCAAACACATAGAGATAAATTGTCATCATGTAAAGGACAAGACACTTTCACGAGAAACCACCATAAATTTTTTTTTAAATTTTTCAAGAGCTTTCGAGTAGATTATTCTTATAAAAATGATCCGACTTCAGCGAAATCCAATTGGTATTGATAGTATATTTTTTGCATTCATTATTTATTTTATTATCCAATTCACATGATTATAAATAAACAATCAGCACGGTCTCATTTCACATGCAACCATTACACATAATCTCAATATCTATATCTTCCTTTTCCCACCAAACATAACTAATGTAAAAAAATTCAAAATAAAAAATCCCTACATACAAGTTGACAGGAAAAACAGTACAAGATTATTTAGTTATTACATCTTTGATAAGGTAAAAAATTAAGAATGTAAGCTACAAATTGCATATATAGGAAAGTTAAAACTTTGAATTCTTCCAAAGATTATTACTAGTAATTATTTTTCTCTATCTGCTCTTTTCATGCTATGTTCTGATTTACTTCTTGCCCTTCTTATCCTATTTTTAGGATCAACTTCCAACTTATAGCTTGAACTACTTTCATCTTTCTCTTCAATCTCTCTTCCTCTTATTACCATCTTTTTTTCCATCTCTAATGCCAAACTTCCATCCATTCTTTTATTTCTCTGCTCATCTTTTTCTCCTCCTAATGATTGCTTGCTTTGGCTATCCTTTGTAGTTGTTCTTTGTTTTGCTCCTACAATTATCTCATGTTGTTTTAACACTTTCTGATTCTTGTTTGCCATGGATTCTTTCTCTTGTTCAAAGTACAGAAGCTGCACCACAGTTCTTAATGGCAGAAGCTCGTTTTTTACAGCATGGCCGCGCACTTCTGGCGTCAGTTTTTGGCAATCTAGAATCCCACATAGTCTCTTCTTTTCTGCTTTACTCAAATCAGGATGTACCTGTTCGTTCATGCACTCAAATAATCAAAATTTGCCACTTCAAGAATGTCAATAAATAAGTTCAAATAAGTGTTTATGCTGGTTACCTTAAGGTAGATGTCAATTGCCTTGTATAGATCATTGTGGTCAACTCGAGCGATGCTCGGCACGGTTTCGGCGAGAGAAACAAACTTTGAGACTTGCATATTATCATCTCTTGCAACCACTTGAAGATAGGAATCTATGAGTTTTCCAACGTTTCTGATTGATCTCAAAAAGTAGCTGTTATCGACCGCACCGGGGGACATTCTTTTCCAAAGCTTTAGGAAAGTTTCCAACACTGCTAGAACTAATTCTATATCATAATAATTCTGATCACAAGATGATTTTGACGGATAAAGAAGGTCACTCACTGTGGCCTCCTCAAACTGTAAGCTAGCCCGTCTTATTAGTTCCGTCTTTATCACCGACGAGGCGTTCAAATGGATTGAAATGCTGAGAAGTCGAAACAAGAATCCAACTGAAACAGAACCTCTATCTGCAGGAATCATGCTTACGATTGTTTCAAGGATTTTTCTATTTTTCAGCTTAGATTCTTCTGTTTGAGAGGCTGAACTGCCTGAACTTTTATTCAGCTTTGTGATTCCGGGTAGCCACCGGCACGCGTAGACATGCAAAGCTTCGCCGATAAGCTGCGGGGGAAGAACGTAGGTTGATCGAATAGCCATTATTATGCATCTGAAAAGATCGATGTCGAGATCAGAAACATCCTCAGTCCACCAATCCTTTGGGACAGAATGATGCTGTTTTTTCGAGTAACCGGGTCTGGTGTAGGTGAAGGACCATTTCACCTGCAAAGAATGAATCATCATTTATAACCAACAAAAAACAAAGAAAGAAAATTCGAGCAAGTTAATGTTTGTTTTTAACCTGTTGTGAGGGTGTGAGAATTTTCTCAATGATGGAATCAATGCATTTTCTTACGACACCGAGATTCTCGGACCACTCGGGCAACGTAGCAGTACTCTGAAGAGTTGCAATGGGATCCTTCCAGCTTTCAAGAATGCATGAATTGAAGAAAGACTCAAGTTTTCCTACGAAATTTCCCTTCTCAACGGATTCGTTCATTCTAAGGAACTTGGCAGCACAAAATGCAGATACAAAGTTATGAGCACTAATGTTGATCGAAATTCCATAACAAAACTTAGCACAAAGTTCAAAAGCATCTTCCCCTCCAGGTATATCATGAAGCTCCACACTAACACTCTCCGCGTCACTAGATTCGTAACAAAGCCTTTGTAGGAGGCCACATTTCGGAAGAAGCGCAAACTGCAGGCAAAAAAACAACATAATCATATAAACGAAATAATCTCAATTTTTTTTGTTATTCATAACCACTTAAATTCTCAGTCATTCTTACCCGATGTAGAAGATAACTAACATCGTTGATTTGTATCACAAGATCCGAGGCTATATCTGATGTCAATGTTCTGCTATTACAAGAATACATGTTAATTTGCGAAAGGGTTGAAATGAATGATGCTGCTGTGAATAATACCTGGTAGCTTGTTCGGTGTAGAAAGTATCCGACTTCGTCCCAAGTTTCATGAACTTCATTTTGATTCGTGGTTGTCTAGATGACATGCACTGCACACCTGTCTTTACTCTCTAGTAGAAGCACTTTGAGAAGTTAGTTCTAACATCAAAGCTGAATTATGCAGAATACTCTGATGGAGCAACATCAAGCTTCTGATTTTTCTGCCTCATGTGTCTGTTACTGGTTACATATGTAACAACAATGATAATTGAAATAACTGTTGGCAGACAAACTTAAGTTACTAATAAAACATATTCAATGCTGTGTCTCTTGTTTTATTCAAAAAGGAAAAAACAGGCAAAAAAAACTTCTAGTACTGTGTTACTTAACACAAGGAAAATATTATTGATAATGTTTTTGGGATGCTAAGTCATTTTCATTCTTGTGTTTGTGTCTCTAAAAGAATTTGATTCATAAACACTTTCTTTTTCTTTTTTCAGTTGAAACTTGTAATAGCCTAGAGTGGTCCATTGCTATGGTTCTCTTCTCTCATAAAAGAATCAAGAATTAGACTTTTTTATTCATAAAAAATAGTGTAACATTACATCATTAATTAGCTCATAAAACCAATGGTTATTTGGATTTCATTTTATCATTTTGTTTTTGTCACTTTACTTTTGGAATTTTTTAAGCAGAAGAACATATACTTTTTCTTCAATTTTCTTATCTTCTGCCAAAAGTGCCATTCATCTTTATGACAAAAAAATTACTTTAAGCTTTTAAATTATTTAAGAAGTTGAGGAGTGGGAAGTCAAAAAAACAATGCTATGATTAAATTACTAGTACTACACCATGCTTATTAAAAAAACTAATAAAGCACTTCACCAAAACAGTACTAAAGTAAAAAAAAAAAAAAAAAAAAATCAGAGAGTTTAACAAGATGAGAACATACCTGTAATATATATAATTATATAATATTGATGCTAGATATTGAATCTTGGGAAGAAGATTCAATCCTTAGAACTGAAAAAAAAAGTGTATAGTTTTGAAGTATGTATGTGTAGAAATTGAAGAAGGTAGATGAAACAGCATCAGTATTTGAATTGAGAGAGAGAGAGAGAGAGAGTATATGACAATGTTTGGTGAATAATCAAGTCAAGTGTTAGGGAGAGAGAGGGAGAGGTTAGTTGGGATTAGTCAACATAGTAATGTATCAAAAGCATGGCATCATAATTAAGCTCATTGATAAATATAGAGGTTGAAAATTGGTGGTGTATGATTGAATATGAAAAAGCATGGAGGTTGCATGGGACCAAGTGTGTGCTTATATAAAAGATCTTGTGTGCATCCTTCATCATGCTACTCCCCACTATACCTCACCCTTGATAAGAATATTCTTCTTTCTTCTATTCTTACTCCAATGCTTTCTTTGGACTCTCTTATGTGCATGCCTTCCACGTGTCTTTTTCTCTGCCGTTCATTAGATGTGGTCACGACCACTCTCGAGTATGACTCATAAACAATGTCAAGAGAGAAAGGAAGCGAAAGAACCGATTAAACACATCTATCTTTGCATTTAACCTAACTCTTACATATTTGTCTTTGTGTTTGACCTAACGGACGCGTCTTTTTCAGTACTATTGCTAGTATTATATATTTTTATATATTTATGTTGCAAGTATAATTAAAAAGCATTGATAAAATAGTTCTAGTTTAGTGCGTGTGGATTTGTTGTTTTGTGTTCACTCACACACTCGTGTGTGAATCGTTTAGCTGAGCTTGGGACCCATAGGTTATAGATAGATATGATTCTTTGTAATGGAGAAAGAACCCTACCAATCTTTTCTATTGGCCTCAAACAAGATGTGCTAACTACTCCATCAAATAAGAGGCTTCTATTATAGAGTAAACACCTAGCTACAACGACAAAAAACAGTGCGTTTGGTTTCATTTGGTGTCAATCAATCTTACAAACCTACTAGAAACATACTATTAATTACATAACATACATTATAAAGGTTGAGCTAATCACAACTTAAATTCTTAAATAATATCACAACATATTCAAGATTCTCCTATCGATCATGATGAGTATTTTAATTAGATTTTGTTACTAATTTACAGTATCGAAAGTAACATATTTAAAGGGGAAGGATGTAGCTTTATATGAATAGTGAGTATGAATGTGCATTTGTTTATTGTATGGTATGGAAATGCATTGTTTAATACTTAAAGGAGACGGATGAAATAAACTGTCCATCTTTTGATGTAATACTTAATCGAATTGCTGCATCAAATCCTTCACTTTATTCTTCCCAACAACATCGTCCTACCCTTTAGGTGTCAAAACTCTCACCTTTCCTCTAAAACTTTTTATTTCGTAATAACTATTTTAAATAGGAAATTTTTTATGTAAAATTTCATTTGTTAAGTTGTTAAAAGATAAATTTCATATTTTTAGGTCTTTGTACCTGTTATAATTAGAGATGAAGTAAATAAACCGAGTTAAATTAAATTATTATTTTTTAAATATATAATATTCCGGTGAGTTTCGGTTTACTTCTTAGAAAATATATATTTTGTAATATATATTTTTTGTAATCTCTTCGACCAAATTCACCATCCACGTTGTTTGACATGTATAGAGAGAAACAACTATGTATTTTGTTTCGCACGATGACAATGCCACTACTGGCTCCTTTCTCGAAATTTAAGCAACTGGTGCACCGCCTAGCATAAACATATAACCAGCTGTGGATTTTTAATCCTCTACATCACTACACCGGCTTGAGTCGGTGTAACTGACTAGTTTGCATTCTTTTCCTTCATCAATCATAAGAAACAAAATTCCATAGTCGAGAGTCCTTTCAAATACCTCAGTATCCTTTTCGTCGCTGCTATGTGAGATACCTTTAACTTCTGTAAAAATCTACTCATCATACCTACACTTTATGCTAGACCTGACCTTGTGTGACAAAGGTATCTTAATGATCCAATAAGTCTTCTGTACTGAGTTGGGTTGACGTCATCTTCATCTGATTCTTTCGATAGTTGCATTCTGGGATCAACTAGAGTCGAAGTTAGGTTGTAATCTTGCATCTCAAATCTCTTGAGTATTTCGCCTGCATATCTTCTTTGATGCATCATCAAACCTCTACTGCTCTTGTAGAATTCGATACCAAGGAAGTATGAGAGATTTCACAAGTCTGGAATTTCAAACTCCTCACTTAGGTCATGTTTGAAATCTTTGATCTCCTTCTTGCAACTTCCTGTTATCAACAGGTCATCGACATAAAAACATAGTATAAGCAATTCACTATTGTTTCTCATTACATATACTCCATGCTCATTTGTGAACTTCACAAATTCTTTCTCCCTTAGAAATCTATCTATCTTCTTATTTCAAACTCTTGGAGCTTGCTTAAGTCCATATAGGACTTTATGCAGCCTGTACACCTTTTTTTCTCCGCCTTGTTTCACAAACTCAGCTGGTTGTACAACATAAACTTCTTCATCTAAGGGGCCATTTAGAAATGTACATTTTACATCCTTCTGACACATGTATCAGTTGTTCATGTTTGCTAGCAACTGATGCAAAGACTTTGTCGAAATCAATTTCTTCTTTCAGAAGAAATCATTTCAAGATCATTTGACTTTGTCGAAATGATGCAACTGATGCAAAGACTTTGTCGAAATCAATTTCTTCTTTCAGAAGAAATCATTTCACCACAAGTCCCTCCTTGTGTCGAGTTACTTCTCTTTTAGGATTCAACTTCACCTTGTATACCCATTTCACATTAATTTCCTTCTTGCTTTGAGGAAATTCGACAAGTGACCAAGTTTTGTTAACTTCGATGGACTCTAGTTCCTCATTCTTTGCTTTCTTCAACTTATAATCTTTCAATGCCTCAACTGCATTAAGTGGTTTAACATCTGCGTAGAAAGCATAGTTTGAAAACTCACCTTCTTCATTGACCACATCGTCTGATGTAATCACATATTCTTGCAACCTTGCAGGCATGCGTCTTGTTTGTTGAGGTCTGCTTGAGCCTGCTTCACGTCTGACTTCTTCTTGTCGAACTTCTCTTTCGACTTCACTAGCTGGTTCTTCACAAAAGATTCTCACTGAATTCTTCTTAACATTCTTAGTCCAATACCATTCCTTAAACTCATCTATGATCACGTCCCTGCTGATCAAAACTTGCTTGTTCATTGGTTCGAACAATTTGTATCCTTCAATCGAATAATGTCCTATCAAGATCATTTGACTTGACTTGTCATCAAATTTTCTTCTCAACTATTTTGGCATATATCTATGTGCTATAGATACAAACAACTTCAGATGACTTAGACTAGACTTGACACCATACTAACATTCTTCAGGCGTGATTCCTTCTAGCCTTTTCATCGGACATCTGTTGAAGATGTATGTTGCAGTTGACACAACTTTTCCCCATAATTCGTTGGGTAGATGCTTGCCTCTCAACATACTTCTCACCATATTCATGACAGTTCTATTCTTCCTTTCTGCAGTTCCATTTTTCTGTGGAGTGTAGGGTGGCTCCACCTCATTCATAATCCATTATTTCTCACATAATGCATCGAAATCTTTCGACACATACTCTCCACCACCATCAGTCCTCAGAACCTTGAGCTTTCGACCACTTTGTCTTTTGACCATACATTTAAACTTGGAAAATACCTCGATCACTTCACTTTTCTTCTTGATCAGGTAAGTCCATAATTTTCGACTAAAATCATTTATGAATATGACAAAGTATCAATTACCTACAATTGAATCCACCTAGATAGGTCCACACACATCAAAGTATATAACTTCAAGAATTTCCTTCGAATTGCTTCATGCATCCTTGCTGAAGCTATTCTTTTGTTGTTTCACCTTCACATTCTTCACATACTTCTCTTGGAATGTCGATTTCTGGTAACCATATTTCTTCTCTTCAAATCTCTGATGTCTTTGAAATTGAGATGTCCAAGTCTATAATGCCATATTCATTCATATCTTCTAGCTGGAGCTGCAAGACACTTATGCTGCATCACATTGAGTTCAATCTTGAAG